ACTCAGCCTTCTCTGGAACCCCCACTCCTCAGAGTAGCTTTGTATTGCTTCCTCTTGCAATAAAACTTACTTTCACTCTACACTGTGTCTTATGATACAGAGGTCACAGTGGCCTGGAGTCACTTGGTGATAGTGAGATGAAAAGGAGAGAAATGTGTTCCATAAATATGGACATAGAGCAGGGGTTCCCAACAACCCAGCACATGTCCATGGCTGATTAGGAACCAGGCTGCACAGCAAGAAGTAACAAGCCAGCAAAGCCTCATCTGTATTTACAGCTGCTCCCCAACCCCTGTCATGGGTTTCACATCCAAGCTCGGCCTCCTATCAGATCAGTGGCGGCATTAGATTCAACCCCTAAGGGTTGACACTTGATTGATTGGATGTTGGGCTTGTTGCTAGGGTTTGGATTTTGTGGACAGCTAATTGGGGAACTTGGGTAGGCATGAAAATCTGCACAAGGAGGGATGTAGAGTTCATGCTCCCCATGAGAAACTAAACCCAAAACCAGCCACCCACCTTCCTGCACCCATGGAGAACTATCTTCCCCAAAACTGGTCCCTGGTACCAAAAAGATTAGAGTTGGAGAGCACAGAGAAAAAAGATGGAATGTAAAAATCTGGGGGTAGGAAAGATCGCATGAGGTTAGACCAGAGGAGTAAGTTCAGAAAGGGGAAGGAAGAAGTGGATGCAGAGCACAGGGGGAAAACTTCGCCTCCTCAGGAGGAGCAAAGTCTTCCTTACTGTAACAAGAAGCATCCGGGAAGATGTGTAAGATGCGTATGGATTTGAATGTGTGATAACGGGAGGTTGAGGGAGTGTCCATCTAAGGATGGATTCTCTTTTCCTGTCTCCAGTAGTAGGAAGGTAGGTCATCTATTGAAAACAAGTACAGGGAATAGGGATGGAAAAAATGTTTGAGGAGTAAATAAGACTTGATATGATTTTAGAAGTAGTAAGCTAGACATTCACCACGTAACCCTAGCTGTACTGCTGGGCAATATTGACAAGCCAGGTAAGGCTACCAGTCATAAATTTATAGCGTGATCAGTGATAGACTAGATACTACTTATAGCAATTACAAGTACTGATACTAATATTATTGACCAAATAAAAGATTGCTTAAAAATTTTGTGGACATACAAGGTAATTTTAATGAGTTTATCACCCAGACCGTACAGTAGGTAAAGTGACTTACTCTACTAAACATTAAATGAATTGCATTTATATGCTTTGATTGCTTCTTAAATGTGAAGGAGAAGTACAAGTGACAAGTTTGTGCACATGTGCAGGTGTGTGAAATTACCCTACAGAGGAGCAACAGCTCCTGCCCCTCCAGGGGCCCTTACTGAGAATGTAGGAGAAGGGTAAAAGACACTTTTCCCTCTATTAGCATAAAAGGGTGCCTGCAACTTAAATTTAAAAAAAAAAAAAAACTCTTGCTGTTAAAAACTAGTAAAAATAATGCATGTGTAACACATAAGAGAATAGCTGTCAATTTGAAAACCGTCACAAGTTGTTATGAAGTCATCTTTATTTAACCATTTCTTTGAATGCTTTAGGGATAAGACTGATTTGGAAAAGCAAAATAATATGTGAATCTGGGGAAGGAGCCTTTTATAAAGACCCACAACCTTTATCAGACAGTATGAGGTCTCTTCTCCTACACACACACATGTGCACACACACACGCACACACACACTACTGCCTTAAGAGTAAGCACTGAAGGAATGAATACATTTTAAGCAGCTGAAGATGCCAGGTACTTTACATTCATTAGTTCATTTGACTTGATTTGATTGAATTTAGTTTCTACAACTCCATGGGTATGCAATTTTAACTCCACTTTTACCTGTCAGAAAACTAAGGCTTAGAAAGATAGATACTTTTTTAAAAACCCTACTAGTTCCTAAATAAAAGAGCCAAGGTTTCATTCAAAATGTGCTCTGCATCCGAGGAAGATACTCTTTCCCCTATACCACATCTTCGAGAAGTGGTATAAGTGACGAGAAGTGACGAGAAGTCTTTGAAATATGGTGAGAGGTACTTACCCCCTTATCAACAACGACCTACAAGTCTTAATCTAGAAAATGAAATTTTTACATTTTTTCAAAATCTGATTATTGCCCAATTTTTAAAATTGCATTTATGGTACACATAAATGCTTATAACAAAGTAACATTTTACAACTTTCAAAGGGTTGATGCATTTGTTAGTTTTCTTTCTCCATCCTCGCAGTTGCTCTGGAGAAAGCGTTGTGAGAAATTCATCACCAACCACAGCCAAGGGACTCTGCTGCCCTCAGCTTGAGAAGAACCCAAACTCCAAGATCAAAAATAACAATATTGGTCCACACATCTTAGATCACCTGCTTTTCAGTTGTTTTTTCCTATTCAAACTGTTATGGTGGTCTTTAATACCCTAAAAATCATGACTTTCCATAGATATCTGCAGAGAAATATTCCAGAGCTAAAGATTCAATGATGTGGAGATAGCTTGTTAATCACAGTCTTCCCCCTTCGTCCTCAGCAGGCCAGAAAAACACTTGTCTGTAGTTTTTACTCTGTACGATTCATCTTCTTTCACAACAAGTGATCTCTACCATCTCTGTGAATGCTACTTTTGTCAGTTCTCCTAGGTCAGATTGCATTGGTTTTCTGACTTCAGAACTACAGAAAGAAAATCAACCCTATACCAAGGAGAAAGGGGATTCTCTTATTGATTGATTGATTGATTGATTGATTGTACATTGTTTTTCTACCTCTATTCTTGAAATGGCTGCTGCCTAAGGACCGCATAGGTCAAGGCCTGTCCTGCCACTCCCTGAGGACCTGAACACTAAGAGTCAACACCTCCGTAACTATTTCCTATTATGAACAATCCCTTTGCTTCATGAAGCATAATTTCAGCCCCACCTCCCTTTGTGTGGAACACATCACAAGGAAGTCACTTTCAGACTGAATTCAGTTTTCCCCGTGTCACCGCCCTGACTCATTCCTGGTTCTGTTGTGAATAGCAATAGTAGTAAATATCACTACTGTAAAGTTTCTGAACATTCAAACAGTGTATAGATTAAGCACCTACATGGTAAAAATAGCATGACTCGAGGAGCAAAGTCCTGCAAACAAAACAAATAAAACAAAAACAGGAGACACTGCAAGTTTTAGAAAAATTATTACAAAAGAAGTAAAATTTTTAAAAAACCATTCAAATATTTAAATTATTCAGCCCAGCCAGGCGTGGTGGTGCACTCCTGTAATCCCAGCACTTGGGAGACTGAGGCAGGAGGATCGTTATGAGTTCGAGACTAGCCTGGGCTCCAAAGTGAGCTGAAGGCCAGTTTGAACTGCATAGCAAGACCTTGTCTCAAAAGAAAAAAATTATTCAGCCCAACTAGACTCTTCAGTGTATTGTGAACAAAAATTGAGCAGTAAGATAATAAAGAAACCTATCTCCATGAAAGAGTCACCAAATCATCTACAAGAGAAAAAAAAAACCAGAAAATGTCCAAATACCATACTTTGCATTAGAAAATGATTTTAGTATTTTATGATGAATCTATTTAGTGTAATATGATTTACACTTTAAAATATAGCAATTAAAGTTATTAATCATTGATGAGTCAAGCTATATATTGGCACATTTTCTGTGCGTTTGAAATTACAGCACAACAAAAAGTTACAAATATAAGGCTACAAGAAAGAAGTATTAGTAAGAGGAATATGTATATGAAACAACATTAGATATTAAATGCATGCTATAATGTTTTACACTACCATACAAGAAACCTAGGTGAAAAAAAATTTGTATGTATGGAAAGTACTTTAAGGTAAAAAAAGGTAATGAAAATGGTTTAGGCAACATTGTCCAAATTTTTTACAAGTACTATTTTAAAATCTTTATTTCAGTGTGAAGAGCAATGAAAGACTATCAGGAGAGAGATGCACACTCTAAAAATGCATTTCAGAAGGGTAAGGAGGAGCCACGTATCCCTGCCTCTGAATTGTAGGTTTCATTTGAAAATGTAGAACTCCTAGGGTGAACTCATCAGTCATTACTTATCAGTGATTTCTATGATAAAGTCATCACATTTTGCCTTTGAACCAGTCCAAGAGCCCCTGACTCAACTTTCCATTTTCTCATATGCACATGAGACTCAAAGAGCAATAAGCAGTACTTCCCTTGAGGTGCACAAGTAGTTGGTGAAAAGGCACAACTAGAATCCAAATTTTAGCAGCCAGTGTTATCACAAGTTCGGATTCTTCAGCATTCATTATTTCTTACAGAGTAATCCCTTCATGAACTTCTAAATTTACTTCCATCTAGCACAGTAGATGGGAAAGCCCTTTCTCATTTCCTTGGTGTTTTTGCTTCTGTGTTTTCCTGGGCTCCACTGCTGCCTGCAAACACTGCCTCCCATGCTGCGTCCTTACCTAACCCAACACACGAGTACAGTACCACCTTCCTCTGTCCCCTGTCTTCTAGCAGTAGTGCGCTGGAAGTGGGAAATGGCCGAGTGGGTGTTAATTCCAGTGGTTTCACCTGCTTGTCACACAGCTCTGTGCACCTACTCGAACTCATCTCTGTATCTCTGTTTCATACGTCATGAAAACACAGTACTTTATTGCAGAGACAAGGGATTAAGATGCAGCGCCCACTAATGTTTAGAAAGAATCTTCCAATGCTACTTGATTTGCCGTGCTGAGGAATGCAGCGTCTGATAACATGAGCCGAAGAGTCACATCCTCTTGAACTAAAAATGGCTCTGTAACATGTGAAGTAGTCACAGGATTTTGCAGACCCTGTCACTTGCAATTGTGGGTAATCACAGTTTGCCAGAACAAATGAAATTCTTACTGTTTTGTCAAATTCCCCGTCTATTTCTGATTCTGTTCCACAAGTCATGCTATTGGTTCAAGTTATTCAAGTTGATTCCTTCAGACTTGCTCAACAAGTTAGGTTTTAATTATGTGGGATTTCCTCCTTGGACTTGAGCTCACTCACAGATACACATAACACATCAGAGTCATTTCAGTGGGAATCTCAAAGGAGTTGGACAAGCAGGAAAAAGGTTCTCTTCATTATTCAGGATAAAGATGTATAGGTAAGGCCTAATTCTGTCTCTAGAACTTTAAAAGTTTTATTATTGCATTTTAAAGCATATAAAAATATAGAGAAGTTTAAAATTTTTTGACTATGGCCAGCAGTCTTCTAAGGACTTTCCCAAAAACTTCACTGAAACACTTAGATATTGTTTTAGACAGCATGCTTAATACTGTTTAGGTGAAGTGCTACTTGTTGGGATTCTTTAAGGAAGTGAATAAACCTAAAGGGATGGCTTAGCATTATAACGTAACTTTAAATAAGGAAGTGTTTTTGTTTTTCATGTTTCTCTTTTCAAAAGTTAGTATGTGAGTTTCAATGTGATCAGTAAAACCTGCTCTGTTGCTTTGGAATTTTTGGTGCATTCTGTATTTTACCTGTATCATAGCATCATTTGGGCCTATTAAAAATGATAGGAGTCCTAAAGTCTTCTTGGACATAGACAGGATGTGTCTACCTCTGTACAATTATGGATTTGTTATTTTAAAGAAAAAATCTTACTAAATTTAAAAAAACTAACGTGTTTGGATTTGTTTTCAGTTAGTGAGTAATCATGTTCATACATTTTTGCACAAAAAGCAACAAGTTGTGGTGTCATGTACCATCAGAGAGTAGAATCTCAATACAATGAAAATCATTACATACCCTGACGTGCATCTGCGTATGCGTGAAAGTGTATGTGGTGCATATTGTTGTTCTATAAGGACAGAGAAACGCGACACGGTACGTCATGGTGGAAGAGGTCGGTAAAAGTAAGGACAATAGGTTTTCTTGGTAGATGAAATTGGATTTATTTAAATCTCTCAAATGTTAGAAATGGTAGAATCAAATTTCAAAACATTTTAAATAATAAAATCTATGTAATATTTTGTGCAATTCAACAAAGAAAAAAACATAAAGATTTAATATATGTAGATAACAGGAAGTCATTACAATCTGTGCAGCCATTTATATATTTTTTGCTCATTTTATTGGAGAAAATTACACAATTATACTTTCTAATCAATTATCAATATATAAAGATACATGTAAGAAATCTACTAAGGAATACAAAACACAAATCTGACTTGTACTGTTCATTGATTATATTTTTCCATTATTCCTAAAATTTCTGTAACAGAGAAATATTCTTTGGGTAATCACATTCCACTTTGAAATGTATTTTGCTGAAATATTTTAATTGTAAAGGCATTTCTCTGATTTTAAAAGCATTGATTGATATATGCAGCTTCAAAACATCACTCAAAGAAAAATGAAAACAATAAGAGATGTATAATTTCAAAGTGTCTTCAATCAAAATTTTTGAAGTTTTCCATCAAGTACGGGAAATCTGACATTCAGTTAGAAACAATCTTGCCAATCACAAAGAAACTTTCTTTGGAATTTTAGTTTCTGTGGTCTACACTTTTGATAAATTTTATCTCTTGAGCAAGCTGTATCTACTGATTAGTCCCTGTTGCATTTAATAGAAAATTCTGTAACTCTTATTAATGTTTTTCATTGGTTGATCAGTTAGTTTTTCTGAGAAAAAGAGTCACCATACTGAATTGATAAAATATTGGAAATAGCTTCTGAGTCCTCATTCATCAATCTGACAGTGAGTGCCTGAGAAACAATGTATTCTGTGAGTCCATGTGAAAGTCAGAACTTCCAGTGAGAGGTGGGGAGCACCGGCAAGCTCCAGCTTTTCCAGTCTTTCAAATGCTTTGAGGGCTCAGGATAGCTAAATCAGGTAGAGGAAGGGAAATGGAATTAGATACCATAATTTTTAAGTAATTCTAGGAAAATTTTACCTGTTAGCTAAATCTGTAAATAATACTGAAATACCTTTGTTTGTGAGTAGGCTGTCTTAGATGGTTTAATTGCTTTTATACACAAATTAAACCCCCATCTCTGCCAAGTGGTCCCCTCCTGAAGTTTACACAGAGGACCTGCTCCTTTCTCCCTCCCACTCCTTCTCTAAAGAAGGAAATCCTATTACAGTCTCCAGAATCTGGGCAGCTCTGTGTGAGATAATCATTATCATCTCAAGATGCTTGAGCACTGCAGAATTTCTCAGATCCATGCAGAGTATCTATATCCACTAGATTACACAAAAAGGATCAAATTTGAGAGATAGGAAGAAAGCTTACAGCCCACAATTCAGAATGTGTTTTAAAGAAAAACTCAAAGCAAACAAGCGTATCTCAATTTAGAGACAGACAAGTCTTAGCAGGGCTGCTCCCATCACAACAAATCTTATTTGTATTTTCTTTCCTTTTGTCTGTGCCTGTGAAGTGATTAACTGACTCCTGACATGCCAAAGCCCATCAGGTGCCCTGCCTTCCAAGGACACAAAACAACTTGAGACGGAGGAGGAAAAACTTAATGTCGAAAAATGTATTCCAAACTTTGCCTGCTGTTTCAATCCTGATTTTTGAATCATTCTTTTATTTTTCAGAAACTGTGCTTATATTTTCAAACCATTAGGCAAAAACAGGTGGACATCAACATATTTTTATAATTAAAGATCCCAAAATAGTGCCTTTAAAGTACTACGTATATAGTTAGACCAAAGGTTATGTCTACTGAACACACACAGATTTTATTTTTCTTGCCATTATTCTCCAAACAATATACTATAATAGCTATTTGCATAGCATTTATACTATAGTAGGTATCATAAGTCATCTAGATGATTTAATATATATAAGAGGATTGAATAGGTTGTACATAAATACAATGACATTTTATAAAAAGGACTTGAGCATCTGAGAATTTTGTTATCTACACAGGGTCCTCACCAGTCCCCTCAGACACTGAGGGATGACTGTACAAGTTTTAGCCTACAAACATCTTGGGTCACACGCTAAAATCATTGCTGCAGATGTGATTAAAATACATAGGAGAATCACCTCCAATTAGTCATTTGGGATTATGTATTTTCTAGCAAATTCTCTCGGATCCTCTGCCAATTGTTCCATCAGCCTACTTCCAACTACTTTCTCAGAAATTCATTATCTTTCTGGCATTTTTACTGTTCCAGCTCCCATGAAGGCTGTGGTTGGAAGCCTGGAAATAAGCCATGAGGAAGAAAAGCACCACCTGCTGTTGTAGGGAAACCTAAAGTTGTTCAATCCAACTTCTTAAAAGGTGTTTCTCTGGCTTGAAGGATCTTTAGCAAAGATTTGCATGATTTCAGTTTTTAACAGTTTGCTTAAGTTAGACCTTGGTATGTGCTCTTGATGTGTAAAGCACAAGTACAATCTGAGAATCTAGGGTTACTGAAAATTAAAAGAATTCCAGCAAAGTTCAAGTATAGGAATAATTCAGCACAAAGTAAATGGTTCATTCTACTAAATATTTACCATATCTATTTACCAAAGGTATGGACGCGTGTATCAGAAATTAGTTTTTATGGGGCTGGGGATTTAGCTCAGCGGCAAAAGCACCTGCCTGGCAAGCACAAGGTTGTGAGTTCAGTTCCCGGTACCGGAGAAAAACAAAAAAACAACAAAAAAAAAACAACAAAAAAAAAGAAATTAGTTTTTAAAGAATGAGCTTAAATTTCCAGGCTATGGATCAAAAATGTATTTGGGTGTATTTTTTCTAACCTAGATTAGGTTTTATTCTGATACTTCTACTCTTAGGCAAGGTACTGCCTAGTTGTAATACTGCAGTGAAGGAAAGTATGACATTTCCTTCTCTGCTGGAATATTCCCATTCTCAAGATTTACTAGATTTACTATATTATCTTCTTTTTTTTTTTGGTCTTTTTGAGACAGGGTTTCTCTATGCAGTTCAGGCTGGCCTTGAGCCCACTTCATAGCTCAGGATGGTTTTGAACTTTCAACGACTCTCTTGCCTCAGCCTCCCAAGTGCTGGGATTGCAGGTGTGTGCCACCACATCCAGCATTTATCTTCCTTTTTAAAAAAAGAAAACAAAACCTTCCCTTGACCCACTTTTCCTTCCCAGCTATCACCTTATTTTTCATCTCCTCCCCTAAATAGGAAAATTCTTCTAAATATTTGTTTAGACCCCTACCACTGTGTCTGTTCTCTTCCTTTCTATCCTTTTGGTTTTTAAAATTTTTATTATAATATATATCACACAAAATCCACTTAAAAAATAAGCTTCTTTCTGGTGTATCATTGCACAGTAATATAAATATGGATAATGATAATACACTGTATATTTCAAAAATATAGAAGAAAGAAGCTTAAATATTTTCACCATAAATAAATTATAATTTTTGAAGAATGTGTTTAACTGTTTTCAAACATCATACAAGGTCTACCTGTATCAAAATATCATATGATACCCCAGAGATTTGTATAATTATTATACTTATGCATCAGTTAAAATAAATACCAATCATATACTAAAGAGACTACTATTCCTTTTCAAAAGCCCTTAACATATGTTCAAAGGGATATACAAAATATTTGCCCATCAATAAGCACGTGGTAAGTACAGCATAATATTCATAAGAATTACTATATAGCAATCAAACTATCAAAGAGTATCTTAGAAAACCAGGTTATGCAATGATTCTCTTTTTGGGGTTGGGGTTGCTGGGAATCAAATTTAGGACCTTACACTTGCCAGGCAGGCACTTGTGCCGCTGAGCTATATCCCCAGCCCCAAGGTTACACAATGATAACCTTAACATGCTTAACTTAGGTAGATTTTAAAAACAAACAAAATAATTCTGTAGATTTTTCTTATATAACTATGTTGATAAAGAAGGGCTTACTCAAAATAACAACCCACTGAATCATTCTCAAGCCAGTCATTCTGTGTAAAACAATGGCATACGCCTGAAGATAGCCCTGACTATATAGTTAGAAATCATATGTCCATGTGAGTTAATACAAACCTCATACTGAGCAAAATCCAGTTCCTGCACTGTCTGATGTGAGACCTTTAAATGAATTATTTGTATTAAATGCTTTGAAAATTTGCAAAACAATTTTATGTTCACTAGTTGTCATAAGCAGAACAAAAGTTTCCCAAAGATG